ATTCTCAAAAAGATAGCTGACAAAATTACGAACAATTTTGGTTTTTGTTGAAGATCGTACGAGTAATACTTTGCAAGATATAATTTTTTTAAGGAAGTTGTATTTGATATTATTTCGAGAATGATAAAATTTTTTGAACTTTCTTTGTAAATATGTCGGATTTGGTTACTTTTACATAGATAATACCCCTTATGAAGATTGAAGGATTAAATTCCCACCAAGTCGTTTTTTTTATTCATCGTACGATCAATAGTTTTCAATATACGATTTTTAAGATGTTTTCTTACATTTTCGAATAAAACTTATATCTTAATATTTCTCGTAAATATTTCGGAATCAACTACTCCGTAGAAAGTACCTGCAATCAAATAATAGTTTTTAAATTTCCTGCAAAATTGCTTTGTTAGTAAACGTCGTTCGATAAATAGTTGCCAAGGTATAAATATAGTTTTTCACCTTGTAATAAACATTTAATAAATAACTTGCTTGTGGCTTATCGTATGTGAAAAATGTGAAAACACAATCTTAAAGCTTATGAAATTACCTAGAAAATCATTATTTATTAAACTCCGTACGACCAATAGTTCCCCAGATACGACGTTTCAAAGAAATTAAAGGATTCTCATTTTACGTTAGAATTGAAGTTTATTTATCACTACAAGTATGTAATCGAACTGCAAAACTTAATATTCGTATTTTTCTCAAAGCATATACGTAATTATATACCATCCTAGTTATGTACCAATATCCATAATTTATTTTTGGAAAAACAGCTTCGAAAAAAAATTGTTCCAACATTTTCTTAAAAACGTGTTTTTAATTACTTTTTTATAAATATCTCAATTTGTACTGAATTTACGTAAAAAATAGAGTATATCAAAAATAATGTTTATAAAATTGTCTACAAAATGCTTTTTTCTTGCTTACCTGTCCGTTAACGTGTGTGCAAAATACAGTCGTTTGAAGAAAGAGTTCTGCAATGATTTTACGAATGAAAATTATGGTCCACAACTTATATAAAAACGTTTTTGTAAAAATGTTAGGACAGCGACATCTTCTTAGCTCATAATAGATAACGTCCCCTTGAATTTGATCATTTAGTATCACAAATTTGAAATTGCTGAATAATAAAAATACAGTGTTTTAATAACAACATATAAATAATTTCGAATTTTTGATACCATTTTACAAAATAACAGCCTCAAAAACCTTAATATGCACATATTAGATTACATATGTGAACCAGCAAAAAAGACATAT